AAGAATTAACGAGTAACAAATACCGTTCCTATCAAATCAAGTTAAATACAATTACACAAATACAAATTACCACTTATTAGATTTATATTATTACCATTTATTAGATTAAATACGAACAACAATACAATAAAGATGCACATCCCGTTCGATCTACAAAAAATGCCTCGCTCAGACAACCGACCCTTTGATAAGTAATCAACCATAATTATACGACAGCGATAATTATCCGATTACGTGATAATATCCATCTACCTACCCAACGCATCTCTCTAGCAAACTCCCGCTTGTGCAACCTAGGGCGTGGCAATCGCAACTACCCACTAACAACAAAAAAAGGCAAGCAACAAAGAAAAGAATTTTAATTTTAAGTATTACGGCCGGGCGTGATTGTAGACACAAATTAAACCAATCAAACCAACGCTCCCTGCCACCAGAATTGTTTAATTTTTATCAAACACTATGGTCCCGGGAATCGAACCCGGAACCACGCTCTGCTACCAAATTGTACACGCCCCTAGCTGCCCCAACAAAGGTTGACGGGACTAGGGCCCATGAGTAATCCCATCGACGGGCAGCAGAGGGACGGGGCCACGTGGCCACATGGAATTTCCTATCACTATAAACTATATGGGAGAAAGCTAGAAACACATCGTACTTACCATTATCCGAAGCTAACTTCCCACAAAGGCTTGCGCAGGCCGTGAGTGTGTGTAATAGTGGATGGCGAGTAGTGTACAGTGAGGTGTGAATGTGTGGGGCCTTGGCAAGCATAGGCGACCAGCAGCGGCCGAGTTCCAGGCTGCTCCAAAATGCTGCATCGCTTCAGACTGCTTCGGCGCCGGACCACTTCTTTCTTCACTGTCACTATTCAGTCTCTTAGCTTCATTGTACATTTAACTAACTTCAATTCGCCTAATTCCTCACTCATCGCAGAGTTGAACACGTGATACCTGACACGGCAACGGACAGTAGTTCAAGTTCAATGTCCCGGATTCACTTATCACAAATTATAAATTCGGCACCAGAATAACACGTCACGACAGAGTCAAAATACGCCTCGTTGACACGCAAATTAATCTAACTAGGCAACCAAAACACAAAAGGCACTAACGCAACGATTCAATTATAACGATATCTTCATCTAGCTATCTAGATCCACGACGGGCCGCGAATTTACGTAAGAGGCCTGACGGCCCTCGTGGCCGACGGGGCACTGACCCCTCGACCACGCGTCGAGCGATAGACTGCCACGCAGCCGGCGGCCGGCCCTACCTCGGCGTTTTTCTCACCTACATACCAAATCAGGTGAGGCGATAGCTCGAACGCCATTTGAGGGCGTACAAATTACCTTTTTTGCCTAAACACATCTGTTGCAGCAGGGCAAACCTGCTCAGCCGCGAAGCGTTAGTTTCCCTGAAGGGGTACTCGGGCAGAGCGTTAAGTGGCTGGCCAATCAGGAAGTGCCCCGGGGTTAGAACCTCCAAATCATTCAGGTCGGATGAGAGGGGACAGAGGGGCCGAGAGTTGAGTACCGCCTCAATTTTATAAAATACAGTGGCGAGCTCCTCAAATGTCAAAATAGTTTCACCAATAACGCGACGGAGATGCGTTTTTGCCACTTTAACCACCGCCTCGAAAATACCGCCCCAGCGGGGACACGCCGGAGGGTCGAATTTCCACTGGATGCCCCTTTTTGACATAGCATTGCCTAAATAAGTCCGGTGGCTGGACAGAAATTCGACGACCTCTTTTAGATACCTATCCGTGCCCTTATAATTCGTTCCGCAATCCGACCGGATCAAGTTCTGGCAAACCGCGCCGCGATACGAAACGGCCAAGCGTGGCCAAGAAGGCTTCCGTGCTGAGGGCGCTTACAAGTTCCAAGTGAACGGCCTTAGTGGAGAGGCACACGAAGACGCAAAGATAGGCCTTATGCGAACGCGCGTTACGAGGGTTAGAGGACTTGACGAGGAAGGGGCCAGCAAAGTCTGTTCCGACTCCAGCGAATGGTCGGATGGCCCGGACGCGGTCGGGCGGCAAGTCACCCATCAGAGACTGCGATATGGTGGCCTTCAGTTTATAACAGGATATGCACTTAAAGATGACGCTCCGAATGGTGCGTCGGCCAGCCAAAATCCAAAACTCCCGCTGCAAAATAGCTGAAAGAGCGTTACACCCAGCGTGGGCATTCTTAACATGGTGGTGGGCTACCAGCAACCGGACAAGGGCGCCGTCCTTAGGGAGCAGCAACGGGTGCCGAACCCCGTACGGCAGTTGAGAATTTTTCAAACGTCCGCCAACGCGCAGCATCCCAGCGTCGTCCAGAAAGAGGTTCAGGCGGGCCAGAGCGCCCTTGATAACGGAGCCACGCTTCAAGTTTTCAATAACGGGCTCAAAATGCTCCGTTTGGACCATACGGGTCCAATGCATCAAAGCTTCACGACGCTCGCTAGGGGACAAAACGCAATCAGAGAGTCGGTTGGACGGGTCTCTCGAATTGCGGACAAAGCGGCGCAACCAAGCAGTCACTCCTAAGAGCTTATCGAGAGAGCTGTACCGTTCCTGAAGAGAGAGATCCCGAGTGGGCTTATCCTTGCCCACTCCTACTCGGGCTCGTAGGCCCGGCAATTCGGTAGGTTCGGAGTAATTACCCGGGGGCCAGAATGACTGAGACTCAGATAACCAACCGGGACCCCACCACAGTGGGTGGTTAACCAGCGAGGGGGCCCCACAGCCGCGAGAAGCGCAGTCTGCGGGATTCAACTCCCCTGGGACATGTCTCCAGTTGAGAGAAGTCTCAGAACTCTGGATTTGAGACACGCGGTTCGCCACAAAGACCTCAAGATTGTGAGGTGCAGCTCGGAGCCAACAAAGTACTATCTCACTGTCCGACCATGCGTAGACGTCCGTAATGTTGATTACAGGCTTCAAGGACGAGTGAACGTGGTTGAGGAGTCGCGTGAGAAGAGCGGCACCGGACAGTTCCAATTTAGGGATAGTTAAGCGGGACCTAATGGGAGCAACCTTGCTTTTAGCGAGTACGAGATGGACGGCAGTGTGACCAGAGGAACTCTCAGTCCGCAAATATACGGCAGCAGCATAGCCCTTTTCAGAGGCGTCGCAAAACCCATGTAGGCTAGCCTTGCATTTCCCTGGAGGGAGGAAGCACCTTGGCATGGAAACCCGGTTGATGTCCGGAAGGGAGGAGAGCATGGAGAGCCACTCTCGCAAGAGGACTCCGCTAATAGGCTCGTCCCAACCCAACCCGGACATCCAGAGCTTTTGAAGAAAGCACTTAGCCAAAAAGATGACCGGGGTGATCCATCCATTAGGGTCGAAGGTGCGGGCTACGGTAGACAGCACGGAGCGTTTGGTCCATGCTTTGGGAGGTGGGTCTAGTTTTACTCTATACGTGAAGGTGTCCTGAACAGGCTGATGTTGAATGCCCAGCACAATCAACAAATTAGGATTCTCAGGGTGCTCGAACAGATGAGGGTTTTGTTGATCCTCTCCTTGGAGGTCCTTCAAAATATGAGGGGAGTTCGACAACCACTTGCGCAACTCATAGCCTCCGGACTTCAGGATGGCAATTAATTCGTCTCGCAAGACAAGAGCCTCCTCGACGGTGGAAGCGCCCGTACAAATGTCGTCCATGTAGACCGAAGTCTCCAAAATAGAAGCTCCCCGAGCGTATCTCAGGCGCTCTCTCTCAGCGAGTTCAAGGAGGGTTCGCATGGCGATATACGGGCTGGACCGGAGTCCGTATGTGGTGGTGTTCAACTCAAACACCTGTATAGGATCGCTGGGCTTCTCGCGCCACAATATCAGCTGATATCGACGGTCATCACGATGGACCACTGATTGTCCAAACATCATCCGAATGTCCGCTACAAAAACCACTTGGTGTCGACGGAATTGGGTCAAGATGTCGGATATGTCCTTGATCAGTTTAGGACCAGAGTGAAGACACTGGTTCAGGGACACACCATTTGATGTGGGGGCGGAACCGTCAAAAACTACCCGAATCTTACTCTCAGGGGTCCTCAAGACCGCATGGTGAGGGAGGAAGTAGTGCTCCTGTGAACGCCATTCGAAGTTGGACGGTGACATGTGACCCAGCTCTAGATACTCGCGCATGAACTCGACATATTTGTCGCGAAAGGCGAGGTCGCGCCGCATGCGGCGCTCCATGGAAAGCAACCTCTTCTCGGCTAGTGCACGTGATTGGCCGAAAGAAGGACGTGAGTCCAGAAAGGGTAAGCGAGTGACGAAACGACCGTTGACCCGACGGCCGGTATTGTTCTGGAAGAACAACTCGCACTCACGGTCCAGAGGGTTGATTCGAGCCGCATGTGGTGGTTCCTCAATTTCCCAGAACCGCTGGACGGCGTCCGAAAGGGACACGCCCACAACGGAGAGTGGGTCGGCCGTCGGAGGGGGAGGAGACCACATAACCGGTCCAAAGAAGCTGTGCCCAAATATCGTGGACATGGCTGACAGGCCATCGGGCTGTAGAGCTCGTATCTCACCTAACAAGATGACCCCTAGCGTGTCGGCCCCCAGTAACAAATCTATAGGCCCAGGTTGGGCCCACTGAGGGTCTGCCGGTCTCAAACCCGACGCACAGCAAACCGAGCTGTCATATATACGAACGTTAGGGAGAAACCCTACAATGTCATCGAGGACATTTACCTTGACTAAAATGCGAAGGTGTTCGCTGGCAGGGCTGAACACCAACTCCGCTTGTCCCCTAGGAGCAGGAGGCTCGACACCTCCGATCCCTACCATCGGACGTGATTCACAGCTCCAGGGGAGCCCCAGTCTTCCCACCAACCAAGTGGAGGCCACACTACGTTGGGAACCCGAATCCAATAGAGCTCGAACCGTTAAGCGGTCGCCGCTCGGGTTGTACACCTTCACTGAGGCCGTCGGCAATAGAACAGCTTGACAGGTGGACTGCTGACGGCTCAAAGGCTCAGTGGAGGCAGCCATGGCGGGAGCTAGGGCGGCAGCCTCCTATCTGGAGCAGCCTCTGTCGGACCGGCACCCGAACCGGGGGCCCCGAGAGCGGCACTCCGACGGCGTCCCGATGTCCCTCGACTGGAATTTCCCGAACGGGCCGAACTGGGGAAATTCGGGGATCCTCGGCTCCGAGGCCCGGGGCCGATACGCGGTCTCCGGAACCCGGTAATACCGGCACCGACCAAAGGGGGGCGGGCAGCGTTCCAGTCGCGGCCACTCAGCCAACGGGGGTGAGAACGGTCTAGCTGACCGCTGAGTGGCTGCGAATCCACTCTCAACCCACTGAGGGGGGGTGAAGACCCCCCGCCCCCGGGGGAACGACTCCCCGAGCGGTCGGGGGAGGGACTCCTCTCAGAACGAGGGGCGCTGTGGTCAACTGGCGAGCGCGGAGCGTCGCCCGACAGGGGGCGTGGCGGAGCGCCCCCGCCCGTGGGAGACGGGGGGCTGGCAGGGCCCGGAGAGGACGCGCCGCGCGCACTCAGGCACAACATGATGTGGTGGTTGCCCTGGCAGTGCGTGCCGGGCCGCTGGTGCGGGCAGTCTCGTTGTAAATGCCTCTCCAGGCACGAGTAGCACCAGCGGCGCTCCCTGGCGATGGTTCGCCTCGCCGGAGCCGGCTTGCGCAACAACTGTAGTATAGGAGGGTAGGAGGGTACGACGACTGGATTCACGATGTCCTCACGTAGTCTGGTCCGGTCCCTCATCAGCGGAAGGTTCAGCAGCCTCCGAACATGCTCGTCAGCAATCCGCCGGACGTTGTAGTACCTTCCAGCGAGGAGGTCCCTGGCGTTTTGGTAGGCGTCGTCCGACAACTTAAGGTGGCCGACGACGCCCAGGGCCTCCCCCTCCAGTGATGCCTGGAGGTACCCCATTTTTTGGCAGGGGGTCAAGTCCCTCCGGGCGTCCACCAGGCTGTCAAACATACCGACGAAGGTCAGCCATTCCGAGAGGACCCCGGAGAACCTTGGCAGGTCCAGCGTGGGGAGTCGTCCTAACAGCTCCGGCTGAGTGGGCGGCTTCCGAGGGGACTCGAGCAGGCCACTCAGCCGAGATTTGAGCTCCTTCTCCTTGGCCTTGGCCCCCGTCTCAATCAAGTCGTCCGTGAGCGCGAGGAACTGCTCGTAGTCCGCGCGGCAGGAGCCCAGGACTCCCTTTTCCACCTCCGAGTCCTCGAGCTCAGCGTAAGCCTCCTCCATGGCAGCCCTTCTAACATCGACCTGCTCGAACCTCTTCCTCATGTTATAAACCCTATCCGGTCGACCTATCAAGGCGTGTGCGCTGGTAGCCCAGCGCAGCTCAGTCCGCAAACAACGAATTAGTAGCTTGTGTGACGGCATCCCTACTAAATACAATTACTACGCGGCTCAAATATAAATCAATTAGCAAATAACAAATACAGTTCCTATCAATCTAGTTAAATAGAAATTACACAATTATTAAATTAAATACAAGTTAACACGAAAAAACACAAATCAAATTAGCAAGTAACAACCCTAGTACGATCAACAAATTATCCGATTACGTGACAACCTTATCTACCTAATCAAGTACTTAGCCTCAACAAAATTCCCGCTTGTTAACCTACGGGCGCGGCATTCAAATCTACCCGCTAACAAACAAAAAAAGCGAGGAAAATAATTTTATTATTACGTATTATTAATGTTACGGCCGTGGCGTGATTGAAAGTCAATCAGCCACGCTACTGCTACCAAAATGATACGGCGTGCAGCTGCCTATCTAATAGTAGGATCCTCCCGGCCCATGAAGAAGGAACCTACAGGCAGGTGCAGGATAGGCCTTCTAAGGCCAAAGTGGAAGGTCTCTAATTACAATAAACAATAAGGAGGAAAGCCAGTAAAGGGAAGGCACTTACCTGCCTCTGCAGCGGAGACGGTTCACCAGGATCTGCCCGGTTGATGGAAGTGTAGTGAATGTATGTGTTCTTTGTATGAATCTGTGTGTAAGTGGCCTGGGCTAGATGACACAATACTGTCCTGGAGAAGGTATCCGCCGGTAGCCCCGGAACTATTCCCTTCTTGAGGCAGTCTTTCCGTTTGTCACGTAATGGTACAGCCAAACGAAGAACTTCAAAGGAAAATCACTATCGGAGTTGCACAATTAATTTAACAAAAGTTAATAAGTCCTAAGAACAATACGTGTTCTCGTCGACGCAACGATTTAAGCGGGTTCTATACGTTCGTAACAAATTAGGCGCTAATCACTAAGACGTCAGTCTCGATCCCAAAAAACTTTACAATGCTTCTCGAGAAGTCCGTCTGTGGAATGCGACCGGGCGGGGAGCGGGTGACCTTGCAATCGATGCTACGTTTCTAACGTACGTTTAAAATTCACGTTTCAAATGTTTAATATTATTGCCTAAACAGAGGGAATATTTGCCATAGTTGCCACGCTTGGCAAGCGTGTTGGCAACTACAGTCTTTTATTTATAGTTGTTATTAGAAACATGCTGCTGCCCATCTCCTGATTTTTTTCCCTCTGGCGCCTCTTACAACACCCACAGGATGGTATGGGGTCAGTATTCTTAAGAAATTTAAAGGACGTGGGTTTGAATCCGCCATTCGACTATTGACGTAAGACACTCCTAACAACGTTTACTAGGAGTTTTCTTCCTCGTACAACTTCTCTGTGGAATTGTTTACCACCGGCGATTTTTCCGGACCGATACGACTTAGGGACCTTCAAGAAAAGAGCTTACACCTTTCTGAAAGGCCGGCAACGCATCTGCAATTCCACTGGTGTTGCGGTTGTTCATGAGCGACGGTAGTCACTTACCATCAGGTGAGCCGCATGCTCGTTTGCCCCCTCTTCTATAGAAAAAAAACTCCTAACACAATCATTGTAAGTTTACCTAGAGTTGTTAACAAGACTATTAGTATTGTTAACAGTATTGCCAGTATTTTTTTAAATGTACCTGATTTATAAATGTACTACCGATCCGCCCCGGCTACGCACGGGTGATTTCCGGATCTCGATACCAGCCTCAAACACACGCAAAAATTACATCAAAATTAGTCAAGCCATTTCGAGACTAAAAACAGCAATTGATTTTTATAACTGTATTATTATTATTGATTTATGTTATGTGATAAAAATTAAAATTCAAAAATGTAATTTCATTTACAGAGTACGTCAGTACCTCCCGAGCTTATGCTGAAGCTATCGTACATGCCGTTTGAAGTCAGTGGTGATTGCCTCCTGAAAGAGTACTGCAAAACTTATTGGAGCATACTCGCAGAACGTTTTGTGTACGTAGAAAAATTGAAATCCAGCCAGCTGGCTATAGTTAAATTATTACCAAAATTGACCGAAGACATTGTAACTATCATTAGTTTGTATGACCCCGTGCAATTCTGTGCAAACATTTTACCATTTGTTATCAAAAAATTGCATACACTTTACAGCGATAACTGTTTGAAGGACGTAAGGGAGACTTATAAAAATATTTTAGAGTGTATTGCATCCAAGAATAACTTGAATTTATTTAGAAATGCAACGGAAAAAGAAATGTTGGATCTGTATATAAAATTTAATGAATGTTTATACGTTATAGTTGAGAATGATTCGAAATCACATTTTAAAGATTCTAATTTTGATTGTATTGTCAGAACTATGATATCTATGTTGGGGCACAACTCCGACATATTCCACTGCTTTCAAACGGTCTATTTGAATTGTTTCTGTTGCTTGTTCAAAGATAAAGTAAACTCGTCCTACATGGAAACAGTGTTACAAAGTCTTCAAGTGTCCTGCGAGACTGCAGAGAAACTGGGATATCAAATGTACACTACATATCCCTTCATCGCACAATTGTTGAGACTTTTTGTAGAATATTTTGTAACTAACTGCGATAGCAAAAAGTGGGATAAACATTTTGATGTGCAACTGCAAGAGATTTGCTTAAAATTGACTCTATTTTTGGTAAAGAAATTGAGTAAAACCCAGCAGATTGCTAAATGCGAGAACTGTACCGCAAAAACTGGCTTACATGATGCACTGCGCCTGACATTTCTTGTCAGACACTTTGTAATCATATCCATAGATCAACAATTAAATATAACGTATATTCTCCCATACTTTTATGAAGTAGTAAAGTTACAGTATACAATTTTGACAGAGCTGAACAAGCTTGGCTGTTCGAACCGGACGAAATGCCTTAGAAAACTGCAAACTGACGTACATAACACGGCAATCACATTAAACAAGGCCCAATACTATGAGTTTTCTATAAAATTATTTAATATATATCTCAAAAATGAAATATGTTATATGAAAAATGACTCAGAATTTAAAAATATAGCCAGGGCACTCTACAATAAAAGTATCAGTGAACTCGATTGTAAACTATATGAAAATGAGTTTGGTAATGGATATTAAATCTAGGACATTGAAGAAGTACGAAGAAGAGAGTGAAACAGAAGGAAGTCAAGAAGGCTTACAGTTAATGACAGTTTTAGGTGCATGCCAGTTGTTAGAGGGAAATAATGATTACGGCAATTTGAAACCGGTCTTCTCTACATTAAAATTTAGGTAAGTTATATCTTGTTTATGTAAATATTTAATCCGTCCGTCCGTCCGTCTGTCTGTCTATCTGTCAGCGGGCTGTATCTCATGATCCGTAATAGATAGATAGTTGTAATTTTCACAGAATGTGTATTTCTGTTGCCCCTATAATAACAAATGTTAAAAATAAATTTAACATTAAAAGGGGCTCCATACTAGAAACGTGTATAACGATGGTACGGAACCCTTCATCCGCGAGTTCGACTCGCACTTGGCCGGTTACTTTTGTAGTGTACTGGCCAAACTTTCAAATGATACTCAATTTTAAGATGTCGTTAAGTCTCGTGGTGTCACAGTCACTTTGACTTAAAGTGATAGAGACAGCACGAGACGGCATCTTAAAATTGAGTATCATTTGAATATTCGGGCATAATAGTGACAAACGAACACAGTCTACATGCTGATGTAGTGTAAATGCAGATACGTTGTCACCCCTGAGAACTAAGGTGGAATGTCTTACTCAATTTGGACTTCTTTAAAACTCTTATGAATGTCAGAATCTGCACCGGTTCACACAAACAAAAGCCACATAGAAGAACCATCAAGAAACTCTGGGGTTGTTCTTTTTTAAGATTTGTTGCAACTTTACAAGGCGCAGGTTCGGCCTCACATGGAATACTGTTCCCATCTCTGGGCTGGCTTCCCAGTGCCAGCTCCTTCCATTTAATCACATCCAGCGCAGAGCTGTTTGAATCGTCGGCGGCCGAACTCTTTCCGATCGCCTTGACTCACTGGTACTGCGAAGAGATGTTGCATCTCTTTGCGTATTTTATCGCTTTTACCACGGGGAGTGTTCTGAGGAATTGTTCGGACTAATTCCAACCGCACAATTTCACCATCACACATCGCGATAAAACTCGCGATATCATCCATACCATCTGGATGACTGGCGGTACACCACTGTGCAATTGAAAAGAAGTTTTCTTCCTCGCACAACTTCCTTGTGGAATCGACTACCACCAGAGATTTTTCCGGACCGATATGACTTAGAGACCTTCCAGAAAAGAGCGTACTCCTTTTTAAAAGGCCGGCAACGTATTTGCAATTCCTTTTGTGTTGCAGTTGCTCATGGGCGGCAGTAATCACTTACCATTTGGTGAGCCGCATGCTTGTTTGCTTTCTTTTCTCCTATATGTATAAAAAAAGCCCCATCTACCGGGTCCAATTGTGAATCAAACCATCCAGGGACCCACTCTAACACATGCAAAAATTTCATCAAAATTAGTCGAGCCATTCTCCTATAAAATTTTTTACTTTACTTATAATAAAATAATATAGTGTCAAAGGTCAATAAATGTTTAAATAAAACTAGTTTTACGGATTTTATCGCGTATATTAACTTATTTTATATTCCCGACGTATCGAGCACTTTACAGCACCCATGGTCACGGGAGGGACTGAGATGTTTGACGTCTCAATATCATAGTTAACCACGGCTTCCTCCAAATTAAAATCATTAATTTTTGTTCTTATCTACGCATTATAAATTTATGATATCTTGAAGTCTTGCAGTTGTATACATGTGTTGGGATTTAATATGATTAATTATAGGGTCCCAAGCAGATGGTAGCACACAGCCATCTTCTCTATTGAAATTAGGATGTCTTTTGATTTCAATAGCCTCGCGAATCATCCTTGGAAGGAAATGGTGTTCTTTAGCGAGGATTTGTGGTCTATTAAACCACTACATTATATTTGAAAAACATATCAGTAGCAATTTTTTTAAACTGGCTTTACGGCTCTGAGTTCTAGCCCT